TGCTTCATATATATGTATATATGCTTCAATATTACTTCGGGCCACTTTAATTTGGCCTTGAGTACTAAATTTCTATAATTTCACATTGATACAGCATACGTAACCCCTAACCCTGTAGGGCAAAATGGCAAGAACGCTTAGAACCCTTCATGAACCACAACAAGTACACATTAGATGTTCCCACATGCAAAATACATTTAACCTTGATAACAAACAAGAAAATATTGTGTCCAGGGACACGGATGCCCCCGCCTTTAATAAGACATATAAAGATCAATAATTGGAACCATTCAACACTGGATTGAATGAAATTTATATATTAATATACATGAGGGAATAGAAGGCTGGCTACTGTGAAAGTTACACCAACTTTGGAAAATGACCTTCACCCTAGGTTGTTGGTGTGCAAAACAAACAATTTTGGTTGAAACATTCACAATGTGTGAATGTGTAGGAAACCTTCCATTGAGGTAACAACTGAGGGTACAGGGTATGAAATGTGAAAATGAACTCCTGGAAACTTCTAGCCAATGTAGCCAACAGTAACAAAACCGCAAAAAAATGACTGAAGCAGTACATTCTCCAATGTGTCAGCTAATACATAGATAATTTTAGTCAAATGTTTACTTTTGGAAGAGCACAACCATAATAATACCCTGCATCATATCTTGCGATAAATACGTAAAAATAAACACACTAAAAAAATGGGTGAAGCAGAATGTATTTCAGTTCTGACACAAGCTTTGGTGAAATGTATTACATTTCAAAATAGAATGCAGTGAGTAAATAAGCGAGTTTGGTTTTAGCAATATTCCAGCAATAACACGGCTGGGAACACCAGATACGGGCTTCACTCATTGTACCCATGTGGGAAACTGAACCCGAGTGTTCGGTGTAACAAGCAAATGCTTTAACCACTGGGCTAGCCAACCGCCCCAGAAATGAATGTAACATGTGCTGTCTATTGGTACCCTACTCTACCACATACTAAAATTTGAAAACTCAAGTACACAGAAAATAGGGTGGAAACATTGTATACTTTTTATGACTCTTCAGCTTGACTAGAGTTGCTTCCCTTAGTTAAGTAGCCTAAAATAAGTATATACTTTATTATACCTATTAATATTTTCTTTGCTTGTATAGCTGCCTGTGATGTGTGTAATGCCCATGAAAGATGATTGGTAAAATGTACGCCTAAGTATTTATGCGAAGTGGTTGTTTCCAGTGTATTTCACTTGAAGAAGCATTTTTAATTATAGCTTACCTCCATTTCTAAAAACAACTATCTTTGTTTTAGCCTGGTTTACAGTTAGTTTCCATTTATCACAATACTTATTTAGTTCAATAATTTATATTTGTAGGCCTTTAATTGTGCTTGAAAACAATATGATATCACCGGCAAATAGTAACAGGAATATTTGCATTATATATGGATGTAAGCATAGTCGCAAGCATAGTCGCCTTTTATGGCAAGCACATGGGTTGCTGAAGACCTATTCTATACCGGATGTTCACGGGTAAATTTCTCATGTATAAATTTAAAGGTGAATTAGTACATTTGAGCCTGCATGTTTGTACTTTTGAACAATGACGAGTTTGAGATTTTATTTTAATAACATTAAATGAATTGTGAGGACTTGACTTTACTGTAATAGATAACTGAAAATACTACTAATTTGGAAAATGACCGATATATGAAGTATTACTTTGTATTCTAATGAATAACTAATTTCACCATTGATTTACTAAGAAGTACCTATAAAGCACATGTGTAATATAAACATCCCTGTTGGATGGAACGAACACTGGCTGAATAGAACGACATTCAACTAAGTTCAAACATATGTAAAAGTGACAAAATTAAGAAATTGCATACAAAATAATGAAATGCACACCTTTAGAGTCCCTACAAAAGACAGGTAGATGACGGGGGCATAAAAATAGCATAAGTAACGCATGTACACCAAACAAAACTAATTGGCTAACCCTAGCCCTAACCTAACACTAACCCTCTGTTAGACGGAAAGCAGTGTCATTTGTTGTTTCAATACTTAGTAACATTAACCCTAAGTGTAAAGGCAAAACAAGAATAGACCTCATTTAAAACAATAATGGGCTTCACACACAGCATAAAGACCAACATGGCCAACATGAACAAAATATTCATTGTAAAAGTGGCAAACAGCAATACATTGCTGAATCTGTCAGGACAGAGGAACAGTGCTGTTCGTAGAAGAATAGTCGGAAGATGATGGATGATACTGCTCGTGAGAGTACAATATTGTTACCCACTGCAAGTGCAATCGAATGAATTGCTGTACATGGACGGCTTGTACAAAGTCATATATTACAAGTGAAAAAACATGGTTCTTTCAAATGTAACTTACGCACTGACAGTGATGCTGCAAAACGTGGATCTGCAAGGAAGAAGACACTGATTTACTACGAAGGACCCGATTGTATGTGAAAGAATACACTGACACTCGGTAGTATTTAGCCTTAAAGGCCAGAATATGTCTGTCAGAGAGGCCTCGGGATCTACACTCCGATTGATATTTTACATATTGTTCTCTCAAAGGCAGTGTTGCAAAGTGACTTTTGATTCCATACACAACTTCAAGCTCCTGGGAACTCCAACGTGTGTTGGTGCAAGCAGGTTTGTGTCTGGATTCGATACGAACAGTGTTGACTTCTTCAAACAAGTTACTATCTGGGTCAATACTATGTTCCATGCTGTGGTGACCAAGGTCACTATAGGTGTCGTTACTTGAACGGTTCTGCTGTGCACACGTTGTGGAACAGGACTGTTTTTCAAAGGGTAAGGAATTAGGAATGGTAGGATGTAGGCGAAATATTTTGCCAACGTTCACTGAAGATAGGTGAAGCTTGGACTGAATCTCCAGTCTCTTCAGTCGACATTGTGGCACAGGAAGATCATCGGCCACGCGCACCAGCTTCACATAGTCAACATAAAAACCTTGCTGTAGAAAGGCAACTGCACTAATAAATGTAAGACAGATTACTATCTGCTGCTGAGTGAGACGTTCTCCTTGCAACTTTGTGAGGCACGAAGATATCCAAGGCAACGGACAAGCTTCAACTTTGTGCAGTACTGAGGAAAACATGAGCTTACTAAGGTGTAATTGTGTTTTGACAATGGAAGTGAGTTCAATAGCTCTTGACTCAAGATCGACCTTCTGCTGGCTGAGAAGCGATATTGTCCAATATTTGAATAAATGTTTCCATGATAAGGATGCATTTTGGTGATTGTCAACACACCGGACAGCAGGAAAATAGCCCAACTCTAGTTCGGCAAAGCCAAGACATAGGACATGCTCAGCATTTTCATAGGCACTCTTTACCATAGCAAGTGCGGCGGGAAAGGCCATGTGATGAACATTTCTGTCCCTGGTTTTACACAACAACGCGCACAGTTCATTCACAGTTATGGTGCCACATACTTGGGTACTTCTTTTTTTTGTGCCAACCTTCAAACCAAGCAGGAAATCTGCAAACAAGGAAGGTGGTCGTCCCGTGTGGTACAAATCGTTTAAAAGGATGAACAGCAGCCTTCGCCCAACCACAGTTTGGCAGCCATGGAGGTAATCGTGAAAACCAAATAACTGCTGTATGGCTCTCTGATAAATGAACGAATGGGTCCAGATTGCAAGAGGTGGGTGGGATTCTTCATGTTCAAGCGAAGTTGTACAATGATCGAGGGAAAGAAATCCCAACTGGTCAGTTTTACACCTGCTAGGGAATGCCACCCCAGGCCCTAAATTGATGGACCACACATGGCTTCTCCAGCACAATGGACGACCCCATAACATCTTTTCCAAAGCAAGTTCACACTGAAACGCTTTCCAAAATGAGGTGCTGTTGCACGTGGATGCATGGCCAAGATAGATGTGTTTCAGCTCCTCCACTAACGCTAAGCCGATGTGTTTAAGATAAGGTACAAAGAGGCGTTCCCTGTCAGCATACGGTACAAGAAGTGCATTTTGTGATAACAGTTGCTTCACACCATACACATTCAAATAATCGGTAGCAATGACTTCCACAGGGGGAGTGTCTATGGCAACTACAACTTCAAGCCTACACACGCAATTTCTTAAGAGTTCAAAGTTATTTTCCATTTCAGAAATATAGGTTTCAGCATTTTTTTTCATGGAAGCTAATGCATTTCCATGGAAAACAGAACTGCCAAGAACAGATCCTGAAACGGGATGGAATGTTGTCTTCGGATACCTGTGAGGAGTGTCAACGTACATTTGAATAAAGCGTAAATGACCAGATGCTTTCAAGACAGTGTATAGTTCGGGCTTCACGTCCAGTGCACGTGCATCAAGATTACTCTGAAAATTGGCACATTCGGTAAAGGACATGACACTTGTTAGTGTGCCCCTTTCACCAACCAACTGCTGTAACCCACATCGGGACCACATGAGTGCAATACCGAAATTTGCCTGGATATTGACTGCAGCATGTATACTTAGACACCTCACTGCCGAAACGTCACACGCTGGAACTTTGATGGGAAGTGCACTTTTCTCACCAAATCGAAAAGAAAAACATATTGTTTTAAGAGAATGGTGAATTTCAACATTGTCAATAGCTGTCTGAAGCAGTTGTAAAATAGGATGACAATCATCAGGCAGTATGGAAAAGTAGCGTGTGTTTTTACGGTTATTTTTCTTAGAGTGTTAGACGCAATACCTAAAGTAGATGCCTTCTGAAGCTGCCTCTCAAATTGCCGACGCAGGCTAAACAGACACCGAGATGACTTTTGTCGCACATCCGTAGCACTCATTGGGGAGTTGCTTCAATTTGGTATTATGCCCAGCCAATATTCCCATCCGTATTCATAAAACAGTCGAATTCCTACTGAATGCTTGAAATTTTGAAGGTCATGAGCACGATAATGAGTAAGAGGTACATGCTTCTTCAGCATGGATGCAATAGGCCTGATGCTTGCTTCGTCACGAGGCAGAAGATTTAGATAACGCACGGGATGATTTAATGCTGCGACTGTTTTCCATTCAATCACAATGCCATCAATATCCGATTCAAAGTTAAGGTACACATCAGACTCCATTTCGGACACTTTAACACTTCTGGCAGGAATGTAGCCGTCATTACTACGGGCAAGAAAGGAGCCAACACTGTCATGTTCTTGATACTTATTCAAAAAGGCGTTGGCATTTTCAAGGTAAACGCTTACAAAATCTTCCAATTCTTCACAGTTGTTACTTGTGGTGAAGGCGTCCATGCTTACAGATGAAGTACTATATAAAAAAATTAAAAGACGGATTATAACACCCTGCGAACCCTGTGCCATATTACATTTCAGCTTGGATACTACCAAACAGTATGTGGCATTCTTAACAAGATTCATAAGGATATGACATATCCCCCCGGCCTCCACATCTTTGAAAGAACAATTTTTCTTACAGTTACTTAAAGTACAGCTTTATTTTAGACTAAGTGCAAATCGTTTCCATGGAAATCATGAAAAAAATAAATGACAAAAATATGCAAATAGCAAAAGGCACCACTTGGGGATCTGCCTCACATATATGCCAAGTTTTGCTGAAAGATATTAAGAAGTTTATGCGTTGTGCTCCGGAAACAAAACCTACCCCTACCTTTTGACACTAAGCACAAATTGTTTCATTGGAAACTGAGAAGATAATAAATGACAAATGTGTTCAAATAGCAAAAGGCACCACTTTGGCATCTGCCTCACATATCTGCCAAGTTTTGCTGAAAGATATTAAGAAGTTTTCCAGTTGTGCTCCGGAAACGAAACCCATCCCTCACTTTTGGGACTAAGTCCGAATCTTGTGCAAGTAATCCGGATGGCTATTCTATATGGTGGATACATTCAGGATGGGCCCTACAAATTCGGATGGGCATAGTTTCAATATGAGGATGCATCCAGGATGGGCCCTATAAATACGGATGGCTATTCTACATGCTGGATGCATCAAGGATGGGCCCTACAAATCCGGATGGGCATAGTTTCAATATGAGGATGCATCCAAAATGGGCCCTACAAATACGGATGGCCATTCTACGTGCAGGATGCATTCAGGATGAAAACATGAAATGGGCTTTAAAACATTGGCGGATGACACGTTCAGGGTTTCCCGCTTTAACCGACTTTCTTAAGGCCACCCCACCATCACCGGTTAGATTTAGGGGTTGTGGTGTTTTTCGTTGCCTCATCGGCCATTGATGACACGTTCAGGTTGAAGGGCCAAGCGCCAGCTGGACTAATGACACTGTTCGTTTTATTTTACATTGAAAACCGTGGACTAATGACACTGTTCGTTACAACAGTACAAACCGTGTGCCGCTAACCGTGGCTAGTAAAAGTGGAATTAACATTTGACAATGTACAAATACCTTCTACATAGGATTGGTAATATGAAGGATGGTATAGGTTAGGGTAAGTTTAGGTTAGGGTTAGGGTTAAGTTTAGGGTTAGGGTTACGCTATGGTACAAACTGCTCCGGAATCAGGTACGGCATATGTGATGTTTGATGTTTCTGTGCAGGTGGGGACTTGCCTGGAATAGATATGGTGATTACAAACGCTGATAACTCTATTTCCATTAGCACACATAGGTATCTAATACATTACAGAGAATTACTATTCACAACTAAGTTTGTGTGGCACAGACTCAATTAAGTATGTAATTAGTGGGGGTGTCGTACCTGGAAGTAGACATTTGTTATTACAGTAAAAATCCTTTGATGTTCGGCCGAGGTAGATACATGTTGTTTTAAAGGATTAATGAGATGGGTGACACTAAAACTTGAACTGGTGAGTGAACTCGGAGTTCACTAATTAGTGATATAAACTCACTAGTTCTAACTATGAACATAGTTGCTGATATGAACTCACTAGTTAAATGACAAATAACACAATTATGATTATTTGATTGATATCAACTCACAAATTAACTATAGAATTTAGATTGATTGATATAAACTCACACTGGGTATATATCATGGTAATTCCACCAAGAATCTATCACTGTCAAAAATGGCAAACCAGCAGTTAGACTATAAGTTTCCCCGACTTCACGTGGTGGACGTTATCTAGTTGTTGAAGGCTTTGTGTTTCGATTGAATCGAAGACGCAACGATGCTTCATGGGCATCTTGGAGATGCCAGGAGAAGACATGTGCTGCGACTGTCTCTACTGTGAACGACATCATCACCAAGCATCCCAGCCCACATAACCATGGACCTGTCCATAATGAGATAAAGGTATGTTGTGCGTAAATGTATCTATAAATTATAATATTAAAATGGTATAAAGCTCTGCTACATTTGTTCATTATTTGCACAATTTTAGACAAATGTGCTCGAAAAGCACTTCATTAGATTTATGCAGCCATAACATTACATTAATTTTGGTTATATCTTATTTACAGGTCAGAGAGACACTGGACAGGATGAAGATGGTGGCCAAGTCATCTCTGGGTCCGATACCGACGCTGTACAACGAGGTTCTGGCCTCAGTGAGCGATGGTCCTTGGACGGAAGAGAACAGGTCGTTCATCGCAGAAATGCCGACGTACGACACCGTCAAGAACAGACTGTACCAGGCCCGAAGATCCACCTTCCCACCCATCCCATCTTCCCGACGAGAAATCGTGATCCCAGACGAGTTCAAAACAACCAACGCTGGCGAGCCCTTTGTCATCATCAACGATGGCGACGACGATAAGATCCTCCTTGGCATGACGACAACGGTGAACATGCAACATCTTTGTGCTGCCGAAGTTGTGTATGGTGACGGAACCTTTATGTCTCACCATCACTCTTCCTGCAGCTGTACACTCTCCATGCTATGGTTGGTGGTCAGATGTTTCCGCTGGTCTTCTTCTTGCTGCCAGACAAGGCGACTGTTACTTACGACCGCGCCTTCCGTCTCCTGAAGGAAGCAGTGGAAGCAAGAGGACTTCAGATGTCACCTCAACACATCCAGGTAAATTGATTTACATAACTCTTAATAAATGATAGTCAGTATTCATGTAGTTATTCATTATTATTAATTATATAATAATTTATTCAATTAACTTATCATTATTTGTAAAACATGGTAAACGTATTCATTATTTCCACATTTTAATCATTCCAGATGGACTTCGAAACTGCAGCGAAGAATGCCGTCTCCGTCAACTTCCCGACGACGCTGTGGAGGGGGTGTCTATTCCACTACACACAGTGTGTGTGGAAGAAGACACAAGGGGTTGGCCTTCAGGGCGACTACAACCACGACGAAGACATCACCCGCGTGTGGCTGAACGCACTTGCAGACATGCCTGACGACCCTCGCTGCCTCCGTCTCGCCGACTACGTGACCACCCAGTGGGTGGAAGGACATATACCCCAGACAGCGTGGAACCACTACCAGAACACCGGTCCAAGAACCAATAACCACCTGGAAGGTTGGCATGGTCGCCTTAAGAAAATTATTTCTAAGGCTCACCCCAATGTCTTCGAGATGTTGTCTTTCCTCAGGAAAGAGTAGAAACTGAACGAAATCAAGCTTGTTCAGTACGCTGCTGGGAGGAAACCGCCACCAAAAAGGAGGAAGTACATCCATGTCAACTCAAGACTAGAGACTCTGAAGCAAGAACTCCGAGATGGTGCCATGAGTGTCATGGTTTACGCTGATGCCGTGTCGCATCTAATGAAGTTACAGTGAACTGACATTTAGTGTGTGACTTTGAAGTGTGATGCAGTAGACCTAGTGCTAAGTACTGAATGCAATGTTAATCATGCTTTGTGTATATTATTATTTAATTTATGTATGTAATATTAATGTAAATGAACTAATAAAATAGTGATACCTGATACTTGTACATGACAGTGTTGACAATATCATTTTTGTGATATTTGTGTATATTTATTGAACTTTATTGTATACATATGACTTATGAAATAAAAGTAAGAACGAAACTATGCTATGTATTTTGTTTTTACCTTGGGAATGGTTTGTGGATGTATTCCATCTATTTACCAGTTAACATTTTTGTATGACCCATGTGGTTGAAATAACATAGAACCTCCATTGTTCTCTGGAGGCAGTGGACTTGAAAATCCTTACATGCTCCACTGGTTTGTTGTTTTAAACATCACAAATGTCTACTTCCAGGTATGTAACCTTAGTGGGGGTGAATTATTAACTTACCACGGGGTGGGGTGGAATGCTGTGCCTCACGAGAATATGCAATGAACATAAATTAACTTAAAACTAATGGTTGCATGAGAAAACTGGTTTATACCCTATGAGCAATGACGTAAAAGAACATACCACTATTGCTTTCTGTTTTGGTTACTTCATTTCATAGGATAGTAAATATGTGATTCCATAGGTTTGACGTAATAATGTGCTTGTAAGATTCATACAAATAAGATGAGGATTGCTTCTGGATGAATGTGGGTTGGCATTTAAGTATGAGGATGCATCCAGGATGGGGCCTACAAATCCGGATGGTTATATTTCATGGCGGATGCATACAGGACGGGGCCTACAAATACGGATGGCTATCCTACGTGACGGATGCATCCAGGATGATGAGGATTGTTTCTGGATGAATGTGGGTTGGCATTTGAGTATGAGGATGCATCCAGGATCGGGCCTACAAATCCGAATGGGTATACTACATGGCGGATGCATCCAGTATGGGGCCTAATCAAGCTACAATTTTATACAGTACTTTGATTCAGGAAACAATTAAATGCGTGAATAACGTTCACCATAGATGTTGATACATGCTCATACACAAATAACATACTAGATACAAGTGATATAGGAATATAAAATTATATACATGGCCACAGCCTACTACTGGACACATAGGGATGCACGGATAACATACATTATACATTCAGCTCGAATAACGCCGTACTGAACGCATAAGCATACACGAACATTATATACTGCATACGTAGGAAGAGACGAGACGGATAACATTGCGTATGCATTGAGCAACACGATTGGCATACTGGAAACACAGATAATGAGAGAGGAAACTGTATCTATCTAGACACAGAGGGAATAACGTGACACACTACAATATATACTGCATGCATACGGAATGTCAAATAGCCATACGGATTTGCATACCCCAGGATAACATGTACGCCTGCAAGCAACATACAGGATACATGTGGTCACACAGGGATTGGGAAAGGCAGGGGCCATGGGCCATTTTGCACATTAGAATAAAACATGGGCCGTTAAAATTTTAAAGTTTACTACTGATACAAGGGCAGTAATACAATATAAATTGAGAAAATGGCTTAAAATATTGAACATGGCCCATTGTTAAAGCTATGTATGTAAATACCTGAATTAACATGTTGTAGTGCGTAGTGCCTGACTATGTATGGTAAATTGTGAGGAAACAAACCTACCTTAAGGATCAGTTATGGTAGCAGCCGAGGGCTTCGGGCAATCTGTTTTTGCGCCATCTTATGAGTGTAGAAAAAAGAGTGACATTGAGATTGAATGCATAAATATTACACTGTGCAGAACAATAAGAGAAATTGGACACAAAAAGGGGCGTTACTATGAAGTGCCAATCTGTAGGAAAGACTGAACAGAAACTTGCTGGTGTATGCGAAAGCATGTAAATACATGCACATGCATTAAGAGCATACGTGATACATGTGGATGGCATGATGTAGTGACTTACTATAGATGGTAAATTGTGATGAAACAAACTTACATTTAGGACCATTTTTCGGGAAAACCAGGACCAAGTCCTTCGGGTAACGTAGGCCTTTCCATGCGCCATCTGATGAGCGTAATGAGTCTATAAAAAAGAGTCACATGGATATTGAATGCATAAATATTAAACTGTGCAGAACAATGAGAAACATTGCACACAAAAAGGGGGGTTACTATCAGGTACCAATGCAGTGCCACATGCATGCACCATGAATGATACCCATACTACACGCATGCAGAATGTAACATACCCAGGCGGATTTGTAGGCCCCATCCTGGATGCATGCTGACGAATACAATGCCACTACATATGCATGCCCCTCATTAATGCCCTAGCCCTAGCCATACTGCGGCAATACGACACGTGGCATACCCATTCGGATTTGCAGGGTGCATACTGAATGGATGCTGTGAAAGCCAGTGCCACCCAGATGCATCCGTGATGAATAATGCCCCATTCTGGTTGCATACGGAATGTAAGATTACCATTAGGATTTGTAGACCCCAGGATAACATGCACGAGGGCAAGCCACATACTGGATACATGTTGTTACACAGGGTTTGGCAAAGGCAGGGGGCATGGGCCAATTTTGCACATTAGAATAAAACATGGGCCGTTACAATATGGAAGTTTACTACTGATGCAAGGACAGTGGTACATTAGAAATTGAGAAAATGGCTTAAAAGATTGAACATGGCCCATTGTTAAAGCTATCCCAGATAGCAATGTGCGTTGCTCAAATGTTGCACCAACATTGGCCATGATTGGGCCTACGTTGGCCAATGTTGGCCCAACAAACATTGCCATCAGGGATGTATGTAAATACCTGAATTTACATGTTGTAGTGCGTATTGCCTGACTATGGAGTGTAAATTGAGATGGAACAAACCTACCTTTAGCATCAGTTTTCGTAGCAGCCGCTACCGACGGCTTGTCCACCTCTTCCGATGAGTCTATAAAAAAGAGTGACATAGAGATTGAATGGTGCCCATACTACACGCAAGCAGAATGTAACATACCCATTCGTATTTGTAGGCCTTATCTTGGATGCATGCTCACAAAGCCAATGCCACTCCATATGCATCCCCTCATGAATACCCTCGCCATTCTCCATGCATGCGAAATATCGCATACCCATACGCATTTGCAGTGCCCATACTGGATGAATACTCAGAAAACCAGTGCCACCCACATACATCCATAATTAATGCTCACCATCCTGCATGCATGCGGAATTTGACATACCCATGAGGATTTGCATACCCCAGGATAACATGTACTAGGGCAAGCTACATGCAGGGATACATGTGGTTACACAGGGTTTGGGAAAGGCAGGGGCCATTGGCCAATTTTGCACATTAGAAGAAAACATGGGCCATTACAATTTGGAAGTTTACTACTGATACAAGGGCAGGGGTACATTATACATTGAGAGAATGGCTTAAAATATTGAAAATGGCCCATTGTTAAAGCTATGTATGCCAATACCAGACATTACATGCTGTAGTGCGTAGTGCCTGACGATGGATGGTAAATTGAGATGGAACAAACCTACATTTAGCATCAGTTTTCGTAGCAGCCGCTACCGACGGCTTGTCGCCCTCTTCCGATGAGTCTATAAAAAAGAGTGACATGGAGATTGAATGCATAAATATTACACTGTGCAGAACAGTGAGATACATTGCACACAAAAAGGGGAGTTACTATTAGGTGCCAATGCCATTCCACATGCATGCAGCATGAATGGTGCCCATACTACACGCAAGCAGAATGTAACATACCCATTGGTATTTGTAGGCCTCATGTTGGATGCATGCTGACAATGCCAATGCCACTCCATATGCATCCCCTCATGAATACCCTCGCCATTCTCCATGCATGCGAAATATGGCATACCCATACGCATTTGCAGTGCCCATACTGGATGAATACTCAGAAAACCAGTGCCACCAACATATATCCATCATTAATGCTCACCATACTGCATGCATGCGGAATTTCACATACCCATGAGGATTTGCATACCTCAGGATAACATGTACTAGGGCAAGCAACATGCAGGGATACATGTGGTTACACAGGGTTTGGGAAAGGCAGAGGTCATGGGCCAATTTTGCACATTAGAATAAGACATGGGCCATTACAATTTGGAAGTTTACTATTGATACAAGAGCAGGGGTACATTATACATTGAGAGAATGGCTTAAAAGATTGAAAAAGGCCCATTGTTAAAGCTATCTATGCCAATACCAGACATTACATGCTGTAGTGCGTAGTGCCTGACTATGGATGGTAAATTGAGATGGAACAAACCTACCTTTAGCATCAGTTTTCGTAGCAGCCGCTACCGACGGCTTGTCCACCTCTTCCGATGAGTCTATAAAAAGAGTGACATGGAGATTGAATGCATAAATATTACACTGTGCAGAACAGTGAGATACATTGCACACAAAAAGGGGAGTTACTATCAGGTGCCAATGCCATTCCACATGCATGCAGCATGAATGGTGCCCATACTACACGCAAGCAGAATGTAACATACCCATTCGTATTTGTAGGCCTCATGTTGGATGCATGCTGACAAAGCCAATACCACTCCATATGCATCCCCTCATGAATACCCTCGCCATTCTCCATGCATGCTACATACGCATTTGCGGTGCCCATACTGGATGAATACTCAGAAAACCAGTGCCACCAACATATATACATCATTAATGCTCACCATCCTGCATGCATGCGGAATTTGACATACCCATGAGAATTTGCATACCTCAGGATAACATGTACTAGGGCAAGCAACATGCAGGGATACATGTGGTTACACAGGGTTTGGGAAAGGCAGAGGTCATGGGCCAATTTTGCACATTAGAATAAGACATGGGCCATTACAATTTGGAAGTTTACTATTGATACAAGAGCAGGGGTACATTATACATTGAGAGAATGGCTTAAAAGATTGAAAAAGGCCCATTGTTAAAGCTATCTATGCCAATACCAGACATTACATGCTGTAGTGCGTAGTGCCTGACGATGGATGGTAAATTGAGATGGAACAAACCTACCTTCAGGATGAGTTTTCGTAGCAGCCGCTACCGACGGCTTGTCCACCTCTTCCGATGAGTCTATAAAAAAGAGTGACATGGAGATTGAATGCATAAATATTACACTGTGCAGAACAGTGAGATACATTGCACACAAAAAGGGGAGTTACTATTAGGTGCCAATGCCATTCCACATGCATGCAGCATGAATGGTGCCCATACTACACGCAAGCAGAATGTAACATACCCATTGGTATTTGTAGGCCTCATGTTGGATGCATGCTGACAAAGCCAATGCCACTGCATATGCATCCCCTCATGAATACCCTCGTCATTCTCCATGCATGCTACATACGCATTTGCGGTGCCCATACTGGATGAATACTCAGAAAACCAGTGCCACCAACATATATCCATCATTAATGCTCACCATCCTACATGCATGCGGAATTTCACATACCCATGAGAATTTGCATACCCCAGGATAAAATGTACTAGGGCAAGCAACATGCAGGTATACATGTGGTTACACAGGGTTTGGGAAAGGCAGAGGCCATGGGCCAATTTTGCACATTAGAATAAAACATGGGCCATTACAATTCGGAAGTTTACTGCTGATACAAGGGCAGGGATACATTATACATTGAGAGAATGGCTTAAAATATTGAACATGGCCCATTGTTAAAGCTATGTATGTAAATACCTCAGTTTACTTGTTGAAGTGCGTAGTGCCTGACTATGGATGGTAAATTGAGATGGAACAAACCTACCTTGAATTTCAGTTTCAGTAGCAGCCGCTACCGACGGCTTGTCGCCCTCTTCCGATGAGTCTATAAAAAAGAGTGACATGGAGATTGAATGCATAAATATTACACTGTGCAGAACAGTGAGAGACATTGCACACAAAAAGGGGGAGTTACTATTAGGTGCCAATGCCATACCACATGCATGCAGCATGAATGGTGCCCATACTACACGCAAGCAGAATGTAACATACCCATTCGGATTTGTAGGCCTCATACTGGATGCCTGCTGACAAAGCCAATGCCACTACATATGCATACCCTCATGAATACCCTCGCCATTCTCCATGCATGCGAAATATCGCATACCCATACGGATTGACGGTGCCCATACTGGATGAATACTCAGAAAACCAGTGCCACCCACATACATCCATTATTAATGCTCATAATCCTTCATGCATGCGGAATTTGACATACCCATGAGGATTTGCAGACCCCAGCATAACATGTACTAAGGCAAGCAACATGCAGGTATACATGTGGTTACACAGGGTTTGGGAAAGGCAGAGGCCATTGGCCAATTTTGCACATCAGAATAACACATTGGCCATTACAATTTGGAAGTTTACTACTGATACAAGGGCAGGGGTACATTATACATTGAGAAAATGGCTTAACATATTGAAAATGGCCCATTGTTAAAGCTATCTATGCCAATACCAGAATTTGCATGCTGTAGTGCGTAGTGCCTGACTATGGGTGGTAAATTGTGATGGAACAAACCTACCTTCAGAACAAGTTTGTACACATTTAATGGGTTTGGGTTAGGGTTAGGGTAACTGCGACCTTTACAGGGCAATGATTGTATACAAAAGTTGTAGAAAAGAGGGTACAACTGTAAATGCTTACCAGAGAGTGGGTCGTATCTGGTGTCACTGTATGGGCTGGGAGGCTGTTGGCTGTCCAAACCGTGGCTCCAGGTACATGTGTGCTGTGTCCTACAAACGATTAAACATTACGAAAATTTGAAACACACCACATTTGTATGAAACACAAATATTGCAATTTTTTACAATATATTAAATACGCACTCTGGTATACATCATATTATTATGAGTTATTTATGCCAGTGTAGCTTGAACACTAACATTGCAGGCTCCAACCTAACTGCTGAAAACGGAAGCTGAAACGAAAAAGAAAAAGTGTAATGCATTATTACCGCTTCGAAAAATAAAATACTAATAAAACACTTTTCTATGTAATGGTGCAAATTACTGAATGACAAAAAATATATATGTA